TTTTACCCAAATCATAGCCAACAAGAAACACGGCCCCCTCATGCATCCTGAAGCAATCCATACTTGCCTGGAACTGTCATGCTTCCTACAGACTGGCATGGCAATGCTGCAGGCCATGAGTAGTTTTACACGAGTGATCTTTCCTGCTTGAAATTGTTGCAAAATGAAGCACCCACAGTTTTACACTGAGATGCAGCCTTTTTACAAGGCAGTGTGTAAAAGCTAAGCATTTTCTCTACGCTGATCCTCTCCCTGGCCTCTGTGTGTAATAGCATGACAGATCAAGCACAAAATGTTCCCAGGAACTGAAATAATGGCAACTATTTCCCTCTGCATGAGTTGGAGCAAAAGGAGCCGCCTGAGACCATGCCACAGAAGGTAACAGGCCCTGTGTGGCAGCAAGCAAGGAGAACGAGTGGCAGCAGTACTTAACATTGGAGCTTGTTCTGCTTGTAACCTACAGCGCAACTCTAAAGCCAATTTCCCATTGCACTGCAGCTGTCAGGGCAGAAGCAAGCAATTCACTAATTGCCATGTCTATACTGCAGCCACGACAGCTGTAGTGTAGGGGGTTTTTCCACCCTCGCTAAGAGGCAGTAGCTAGAGGCTGCAACTGCTACTGCCTCCTCCCTGCCCAGCTGAGTGGCTGGGATGGTGGCAGCAGCAGGGCCACTCCAGCCATTCTGGGTAGTTTCACCTGCCTCATGAAAACACAATGAAAGTTGTTGATGTGTGAATTTTCCCTTATTCAAGATGGCCACCATCTCCTCAATGGGCTGAAGCCAGCGTGACGGGCGCCATCCCCCACAGCCATATGGGGAAGGGAGTCTGCCCTTAGTACAGTTGGTTGCCACGTTCCACTGTTTTCAGTGAGGCTGCCACCACTCACAGGCAAAATGGCTGTCAGTCTAGGGCTCAGGGGCTGGACAGGACACAGGCTGTGAGGAGCAGCAGAGACCCTGTGAAAGGGGGATGGGGGAGTGATGGGGGCAGGAGGCAGATTTAAGGGGTACAGCCTAGATGTGGGGGTAGGGGGGCTGAGGAGCATGCAGGAGGATGTTGTGGGCTGAGGGGGAGCTATGATGCTATATGGAATATGGGAGACACTTTATATTATTGACACCAATATTATAAAATTGCAAGGAATCTGACCAGATATGCCTTGTAAGGTATCTGCAAAAATGTTATAAATCGCCAAGTATGATAATCTTCTTTATATGTTTGTATCGCCTTTGTATTGTTAGTTCTAGATATGCATGGTATAGCTGTATTTCCAAACTTGTACTGTGTTTTTGGGTGACACCCCCAGGCAGATTGGCATCAGCACCACCTAGCCTGTTCGATGGCCCATCAAGGGTCATCAACTGTACAATGAACCCATTGAAAGAAAAGATAGGGAAGACTCCTTATGAGTCAGCAAGACATGTGGTATGCTTATGGACAGAACTCTAAGGCTTCCATGCCATGTGCTGGGTAGCTTGTGTTTGGGACAAAGGAAGTACAAGCCGCATGGCAAAAGACTATAAAAGGCAGCCGCATCATCTCCATTTTGTCTTCAATCCTGCTTCTTACCTCTGGAATAACTTTTCTACAAACTGAAGCTCTGAACAAAGGATTGAATGACCCATCCAACCTGTGGATGTGGTCCAGAGGGACTATCAAGCCAGCAAACTCACCAATATGGCTAAGAACCTGATATATGGACTTTGAAGTCTTTGTATGTATGTGACTACTTCATCATTTAACAACTCTCTTCTTGTTCTTTCTTTTTTCTTTGTAATAAACCTTTAGTTTTAGATGTTAAAGGATTGGCTGGCAACATGGTAATTTGGGTAGGATCCAACCTAATATTGACCTGGCAATGTGGCTGACCCTTTGGAGGTCAGAAAAACATTTTATATAGCGAGCAGAGTTTTTAAGTAACTCCTCAACTTACTGCTCCTAGGTGCTGATTGGGAGCAAGAACTGGAATGCAATAAAGGGGACTGTGTGATTTCCTTTTTTTGCTTCTTGATAACCAATGTGGGGGATCAGGAGCTCACTTTGTGGCTGGTTGGGAAGTTTAACTTCAGTGTTAACTACTAGTTTTGGGAGTATCCACTCTCCTTTTTGCAGCCTGCCCTGACCTTGGCATTTCCAGTGAGGGCTACCCCAGGCACCCTGGGTCACAGGTGCAGAGGACAGTGATGGGAGTGGGAGATGGAGGGGCTAACATGGCTTCTCCCACAGCCTGGGTGCAGTGTGGGGGTGAGGGGTCCCCTCCCAGCAGCCAGGGGAAGGCAGTGTTGCAGGATCGCCGACTATTGTGAAGTGACCACAAGTGCCGGGATTTTGGTGCCTGTAGGAGGAGCTGTCACAATGGCATGAGATGTTCCTCTGGTCCTGTGATTTCCAAGGCTGGGCATTTGGGCAGAGCTCTTGTAGTAGTAGGATTTTATGTTTTCCATGGAGAGGAACATGTATAATTTAGAATGAAGGATAAGGAATAATAAGATAATGTAGCCTGCATTAAATGTATTGATGTATGATTTGACCATATCCTGCCAGCCACCCTTTTTGAATAGCAGAAAGGAATGGCCTAATGGGCCATTGGTAGAGATGCATCAGCCAGAATCAATTTGTGTCTGGGCTGATTTCAAAGCAGTAACAGACCTTTGACGGTCACCACGTTGTTGTAGGCTTAGCATTTTAAAATGAGTAAAAGAATGCCATGATTGTTTTTCTTCTGCATTGCAATTTGATGTTCCTGTTCAAAATGTTCTGTGTAAATTAATTCTGTTTTATGTGTGAATGAGGAATGGATGTTAAGAGATAAGTGTAAAGGCCATCACTGAACCAGATGTTCTAGAGAGGAACCAGAGACAGAAGCAAGGGTGCCAGGAGAGTGCAACACGCCCCTATTGAAATGTCAGAGGAGGGCAGATTAATGACTCTAAAGATGAGACAGGCACATATCAATGGGGACAAGATAGCTGTGATCAAAACTAGCATGAGATAACTCTCTGAGAGACTTGATGAAACAACAAGATAAATGATGAGAAGGACAATTTAAAAAAAACAAGTACTTGTTAAACAACAATTGATTACAGCGTGATGGTCCAAAACTCATTGGTCCCAATGAAGGAAAAATCACTATATAAACAGGGTGCCTTGCCATGAAACTTTGGGTTCATCCTGCCAAGACTTCCCTGGAGCACCATGTTGCGACCGACAGAACCTGACTCCTACCTACCCATCATCAATATAGCTGGCCACTAGATTGATCCAGACTCTGGACTGGTAACTATAACATCAACTGGCGGGGCAGTGTGTGTATGTGTGTGTGTGGTGGGGGGGGGGGGGTATGTATTGAATGCATATGCTAAGTGTTGTATCTTCAATAAACCAGGCAT